AATAATAATATTATTAATAAAAATATATAATTTTGTGCATCGATTTTGGATTATTTGACCGCTACTAAACTTGCAGACTAAGTATAACAAGTTCTAAAAACTTCCTTGTAATATATGACTTATAACTACAATAGATAGGTTGACACATTTGACATGGCTTGCTAAAACCTTGATTTACAGAGGTTTCCAGAGGATGAAAATCTGCAGAAAAAATGAATCACATGAAGGTTAGGACCTTTCAATAAATGGATATCTTGTGGCAGTGGCATATATATACACAATATATAACCATTTTTCAGACCTGTGATTGTGATCTGATAGGACAACATAATAAAATGCACAATCTGAGATAAAGGTTAATAAGCAAGACCCTAGCTGTAAGCTCAACATCCAACCATAGAAGTAAATATAATCCTAACATCAAGATAAAAAGGTGAAGTGTGTATCAGGGAAAATGATAGACTTGTGCATTTGTATTAGTATGAATGACATAATGACCAAAAAGTTAGGTTTTCTGATTATTTGAGTCAGCATTTAAATGCAAATGCAGCAATAACAGAATTTATGCATGACTAAATGACTCGCCGACAGATTTTCGGTTGGCCCCGTTCAGTCATTCAGCTTTTGCAGCAAACAGTCACTGATGGTGGGTGGAGGCTCTAGAAAAAATTAAACAAGAAGGGTGGACATGTCATGTCTACCTCCCCAATAAGTGGCATGGTCCATACTGCCAGGTGGCTAGGGGTCAACTCAACTTGTCGTGTTTGGAGGAGGAGGAATGCAGCCTTTGAACCCAAGAACACCATCCCCACCGTCAACCATGGAGGTGGAAACATTATGCTTTGGAGGTTTTTTTCTGTTAAGGGGACAGGATAACTGTACCGCATCAAAGGGACGATGGACGGGGCCATATACCGTCAAATCTTGGGTGAAAACCTCCTTTCCTCAGCCAGTGAATTGAAATGGGTTGTGGATGGGTATTCCAGCATGACAATGACTCAAAACACACAGCCAAGGCAACAAAAGAGTGGCTCAAGAAAAAGCACAATAAGGTCCTGGAGTGGCCTAGCCAGTCTCCAGACCTTAATCCCATAGAAAATCTGTGGAGGGAGCTGAAGGTTTGAGTTGCCAAACATCAGCCTTGAAACCTTAATGACTTGGAGAGGTTCTGCAAAGAAGAGTGAAACAAAATCCCTCCTGAGATGTGTGCAAACCTGGTGGCCAACTACAAGAAACATCTGACCTCTGTGATTGCCAACAAGGGTTTTTCTACCAAGTACTAAGTTGAAGGGGTCAAATACTTATATCGCTCATTAACATGCAAATCGATTTATAAAACTTTTTAACATGTGTTTTTCTGGATTTTTTTTTTGTTATTCTGTCTCTCACTGTTAAAATACACCTACCAATAAAATTATAGACTGATCATTTCCTTGTCAGTGGACACACATTTAAAATCAGCAGGGGATCAAATAATTTTTCCTCACTGTATTTGAATTAAGTAAAATTACAATGTGCACTATATTTATTATTTTTGTTTTATAGCACAGCCTATATATGGAGAGGACTGTTGCTCACCAGTATCACAGAGTGGGGACTTGTACAACTCCACATTATATTTCAGGAGTCAACACACCACCATACCATGCGAGTGTGCTTTCATTTTATAATTTATCCATATTTATCAAGATGTACTACACTAGATTAGTCTATCGGTATGTTTTATATTTATTATACAAACTTCCAGACTGCTGACTGAGACCAAGGGAACCCACAAGAATCCAGAAGTGTGGATTGTACCACACATGCTCATACAAGTTGATCTTTTAGAAGCTGCCAAAATCTGTAAATGTATTCTTTATTTATCCTTCCATTTTTACTAGAAATGCTGTACTATATATTTTTCACAATTTTAATCTCTGCCACGTATATCGAGAAATGTTCCCTTCCTGTACAGAAATTAACATTTAATTGGAAATAGGAGAAACTCTGGATCCAGCGTTTGAGCTGCCTACCCTCATCTAATACTACTGGAGTTCTGAACCACCATATAGACGCTATATAATGTATCTTAGGAGATACCAATAATTTAGACAAATCAAGGTCCAAAGGGTAAACATATGTAAGAAAAAGCAACCCTAGAGGAGCCTGCTAGTAGTGTATCTGTTAGTAAAAGGACAAAATTAATACCTAAACAATAGAACAAGTGTGGGTAATGTAAAAAGTAAATGTAGTTCATCCAAGTCCAGTCATCCTTAGCTCACAAAGTAACCACAAGGAGGCATGCAACATAATGAACAGAACACGAGACTGACAGTACAGACACTTGTACTGAAGAATAATAATATAAAAATCTATTTTTACAGAAAGGAATCAACATAATCTAATCATGTTTTTTATACTTTAAGATTTTTCTGTCAGGCAAGATATCAATGGATTACTTAAATAGACCTTAAATATTCCACTTGTATTATCCATTGGATCAGAGTGCAAATTTTAGAAATCAGGGCAAAGGCTGTACTGAGAAGACAAACTCAAATTTGCTATGTTTTTCCTTAAAACAAGGCCAGCCCAATAGAATTTAAGAGCGAGTGAGAGACTCAGAAACAGATGGCCAACAAAAGTTAAAATCAATTTTTTTATATGTTCTAAAGTACCAGAAGAAGAATGACATATCAACATGTATTTCGTGCACTAGGATAAATTGTGTCTCTGCCCACTTCCTTAAACTCAACTTGACCAAAACTGAAATTCTGGTCTTTCCTCCCTCAAGTGTTGCTACTCCTGTGTCTGTCTCCCTTCAAGTCAACGGTGCTACCATCAACTCCACCACGCAGGCTCGTTGCCTTGGTGTTTTCTTGGACTCCGACCTCTCCTTCACGCCCCATGTTCAGTCTATCGCCAAATCCTGCCGCTTCCATCTCAAAAACATTGCGCGCATCTGACCCTACTTAACGCCACTAAGGTGCTGGTCCATTCCACTGTCCTTTCTCACCTTGACTATTGTAATCCGCTTCTCAGTGGTCTTGCATGCTCCCAGCTTGTGCCGTTACAGTCCATAATGAATGCGGGGGCGAGGCTCATCTTCCTGTCCGCCCGCACCTCCCACGCCTCACCCTTCTGTCAGTCCCTAAATTGGCTTCCTGTAATATATAGGGACCAATTTAAAATTCTAGTTCTTGCTTTCAAATCTCTACATAATGCTGCTCCCACCTATCTATCCTCCCTAACACACAAGTATGACCCATCTAGGCCCCTACGCTCTGCTGAAGACTTGCATCTATCTTCTGTCCATACTCCCACCTCTGATGCTCGCCTTCAAGACCTCTTACATAATAAATAAATTAATATATATATATATTTCCCTGATCTTACCTTGCAAGGCGGGGGTGGCACAATCAGATATATGGTGGTTGAGAAGGCTGCCTATCCATTGTGTACAGTGGATGTCACGAGAGGTATCTCTCTTGGCACTCAAGCACTTACACAGACTTAACCATACAAACCCATAGACTGACCCATACACACACACACACACACAGGTGCCACTGTCACTCCAGAGCTGGAGGAAGAGGCCGAGACAGCAGCAGAAGAGGAAGCGGGAGGCTGAGACCTTTCTTGGTTATTGAGGTGCTTACTCCACTGCAGCTCATGCTTTGCATGTAGATGCCTGGTCATGCAGGTTGTGCTCAGGTTTAGAACGTTTATGCCTCGCTTCAGGCTCTGATTGCACAGCATGTAAATCACTAGTGTCTTGTCATCAGCACATTGTCTGAAGAACTGCCACACCAGGGAATTCTTTGGAGCTGGCTTTGGTGTGCTCGGTCCCTGGGTGCGGAGGGTAGTAGCAGGCGTACTGTCTAGGGGACGGCCGCTCCGCTTTTGCACCCTGCTCTAGGAGGAGGAGGTGGAGTAGGAGGTTGAGGAGGCGGTGACCGTGGCGGTGTAGATGGAAGCGGCGGTGGAGGCAAAGGAGGTAGCCAACACTGTTTTTTTGGGTTTTTTTTTAATTGGGGTAGCCGCCAAAATATTGGGACGTATAAAAAAAGAAACATTTGCTGCCTGCGGTGCATTTCTTGCAGTCCAATAACACCATCAGGTTTTTAAAACTATCCGTCTCCACTAGACGGAATGACAGCATTTCAAAGCCCAGGAATTTTGAAATGCTGGCATTCAGGGCCAGGGATTGTGGGTGGGTAGGGGAGTACTTCCTCTTTCTCTCCAGTGTTTGGGAGATGGACAGCTGAACGCTTCCATTGGACAGTATGGAGATGCTGGACAATTGTGTACCTGGCCTATGCTGGTGCAGGAACCCACCCACTTGTGAATAACTGGCCTGATAACCATGGAAATGACCCCTCTTCCTTCTCCTCTTCCTCCTGTGCCACATCCTCTTCCATCATCGCCCAAAGTGTTTTTTCAAGGAGACATAGAAGCGGGATAGTAAGGCTGAAAATGGCGTCATCGACACTGGCCATGTTGGTGGAGTCCTCGAAACAGCGCAACATGGCACACAGGTCTTGCATGGAGGCCCACTCATTGGTGTGAAGAGGTGCTGTTCCGCAGAGCGACGGACCCGTGCGTGCTGCAGCTGAAACTCTGCTATTGCCTGCTGCTGCTCGCACAGTCTCTCCAGCATGTGCAAGGTGAAGTTCCATTTTGTGGGCACGTCGCATATGAGGTGGTGAGCGGGAAGGCCAAAGCTATGCTGCAGTGCAGACAGGCGAGCAGCAGCAGGGTGAGAACGCCAAAAGCGCGCACAGACAGCCCGCACTTTCTGCAGCAGCTCTGATATATCTGGGTATACACCGTGGCGGTGTAGGTGGAAGCAGCGGCGGTGGAGGAGGAGGAGGTAGCCAACACTTTTTTTTTTTTTAATTGGGGTAGCCTCCCAAATATTGGTACATATAAAAAAAGAAAAAAAAGAATAAGTGCGCTAGAGTATAACAATGGCTGGGTGAGGCCGGTATAAATGTCTATTCTGCACAAGGTACAGACAAGTCTGGTGGGATCCATGCCTGGTTTATTTTAATAAACATGAGCTTGTCCACGTTGGCCGTGGACAGGCGGCTGCGCTTGTCTGTGATAACCTTGTGCTGATTGCATGTCCCCGTGATGGCGACAATGCATCAGATTTCTGCCCTATCAATTTTCGATGCTATTTTCCACACCTACCATGGTGACCACGGGTAACAGGGAATCAGGGTTCGATTCCAGAGAGGAAGCCTTAAAAACAGCTACCACATGCAAGGAAGGCAGCAGGAAAGCAAATTACCCACTCCTGATGGGAGGAGGTAGTGATGACAAATAACAATACACTACTCTTTCGAGGCCCTGTAATTGTAATGAGTCCACTTTGAATGCTTTAACTTGGATCAATTGGAGGGCAAGTCTGGTGCAGAGCGACTGACCCGTGCGTGCTGCAGCTGAAACTCCACTATCGCCTGCTGCTGCTCACTGAAGCTGCATCAGGGTCCTGGTATGTGGCCGCACAAACGTTGGTACTCAACACCAGGGGGCGTGCAGTTACCTTGCACAAGACCCTGCTAATCCATTCCACTCTGTGACTCCTAACTTCAACATCAGGCATACTGGGTTGTGGTCGTCCGACCGCCGCCCAGACAGTGTCTGGGTCCCGGTCACCGGACTGCCCAACTGACTGTGAAACTGCCAATGGCTTGTTAAATCTGTTATGGTTCCTTTTATCGCTCCATCTGTTACTTGGATAACTGTGGGAATTCTAAAGATAATACATGCCGACAAGCGCTAGGGGACGGCACCCTGCTCCCTCTTATGCTGTGATGGTGCCTCTGTGCGACCAGCGCCTCTTCCTCCAAACTGCACATGTCACTCGCATGACCTTCATTCCACGTTGTTTTGGTGCTTGGTTTTTAACTTTGTAGTTGTGTCTTTACACAATATAGAAATGTATATTAATGCTTCTGTATATGAAGCGATAACAATAACACTTATTTTTCACTTTTTTAAAAAGTCTTTAGACTTTCTTGAGAAGCGTTAATTAGCCAGTATTGCACAAATACACCAGATATAAAGTGCACACCCCAAATGTACTATTTAGCAGCCAAATAATTTGAATTTTTAAAACTGCGCTGTAAGCAAAGTATTTGAGGGTTCTATTTGACTCTCAAATATGAAGTGCAGGCCCCAAATCTACTATTTAGCACCTAAAGAATTTGAATGTTTAAAAATGCGCTGTATGCAGAGTATTTGACGGTTCTATTTGACTCTCAGATATGAAGTGCACCGGAGGCCGCAGATGTACTATTTAGCAGCAAAAAAAAATATAGAATTTTTAAAACTGCGCTGTAAGCACGGTATTTGACGGTTCTATAGGACTCTCAGATATGAAGTGCAGGCCCCAAATGTACAATTTAGCACCTAAAGAATTGCGATGTTTAAAACTGCAATGTAAGCACAGTATTTGACGGTTCTAATTGACTCTCAGATATGAAGTGCAGGCACCAAATTGACTTTTTAGCACCTAAAGAATTTGAATGTTTAAAACTGCAATGTAAGCACAATATTTGACGGTTCTATTTGACTCTCAGATATGAAGTGCAGGCACCAAATTGACTTTTTAGCACCTAAAGGATTTGAATGTTTAAAACTGCTATGTCATAGCAGTATTTGACGGTTCTATTTGACTCTCAGATATGAAGTGCACTACAGGCTGCAAATGTACTATTTAGCACCAAAAAGTTAGATTTTTTAAACCAACAATGTAACAGTAGTATTTAAGGGTTTTATTGGACTGCAAGAAATGCAGTACGCAAATGTACTATTTAGCACCAAAAAAATTGCAGTATTTAAAAATGCCTAGATGTTGCCCACTGAGCTACCAGAACAGGCTTAAAGTAATGTGCCTGGCACACATGCAGTTGCAAGTGCACTGCACTCACTGTGGCACTGGGCTCAGGGCAGGGTACAAAAATGTAGTATAATAGAACACACAAAAATAATCGCTGTAGTTTGAATAATCGTTGTAGTTGCAGATTCAAGACCAGAATTCTTTCCTAAGCTGTCCCTCACAGCTGCAGCATCCTCTCACTACACTAATAAGAGCTCATGTGTGTGCTGCGCTACGCGACTCCAGCTTATATATAGAGGCTGGGTCACATGCTGCACTGGCCAATCACAGCCATGACATTAGTAGGCATGGCTGTGATGGCTTCTAAGAGCACACGAGTCAAACGCTTGTTGATTGGGTGCCCTGCAGCCATTCAAAACACACCATTAAATCGCCGAAAACCGAACACCAACCCGAAAATACACTGATATGTCCGTGTTCGGGTCCGGGGTCCAAAAAACGTAATTTTCGGTACGAACCCAAACTTTACAGTCCGGGTTCGCTCAACTCTATTGAGGATCCATTGATCAGTCAGTGTGGTTTAATATAAGAACAGTGACTGAGTCACACCACACAAAAACAAAAGTTTTAGAAAAACTAGACTTTAGAAAAACAGACTTTTCTAAAATTATAATATGTGTAAAGGAGTCATTATCGAACTGGAGCAATTTGAATGGAGTCCAAGAGAAATTGGATTATTTAAAAGTTGCATTGCTGAAGGCAACAGAAAATTACATTAGGCTTGTCAGTAAAAGCAAAAAATTTAAGAAACCACTGTGGTACTCCGCAGATGTGGCCAAAATAGTAAAAAACTAAAAGTTAGCATTTAGTAATTATAAAAAAAAAACAGAGTAAGGAAGACAGCATGATCTATAAGTTTAGGCAGAAAGAGGCTAAGCAAGTTATAAGAGCTTCAAAATCACACACAGAAGAGAAAATAGCACAGTCAGTAAAAAAGGGGGACAAAACATTTTTTAGATACATAAATGAGAAAAGGAAAGTAAAACAAGGATTAGTTAGATTAAAAACAAAAGAAGGAAGGTATGTAGAAGAGGATAACGGTCTAGCTGACTGCCTCAATTAATATTTTTGTTCAGTATTTACAGATGAAAATTAAGGAAAGGGACCTCAGTTAGGAAAAAGGACAAATGAGTCATGTGTTACATGTGAGTTTACAGAGGAAGAGGTTCTATTTCAACTGTCAAAAGTAAAGACAAATAAGTCAAGGGGACCTAAATGGAATACACCCAAAGTTATTAAAAGACCTTAGTGGTGTAAGAGCAAAACCATTAACAGATTTATTTAATCAATCATTGTTAACAGGAGTAGTCTCAGAAGATTGGAAGTTAGCGAATGTTGTGCCCATTCACATAGTAGGGAGGAGTCGGGCAACTATAGGCCAGTAAGCCTTACTTCAGTAGTGGGGAAGGTAATGGAAACCATGTTAAAGGATAGGATTGTTGAACATCTAAAATCACATGGACTTCAAGATCAGAGACAACATGGGTTTACTTCAGGGAGATCATGCCAAACTAATCTTATTGGTTTTTTTGATTGGGTAACTAAAATAATAAATCAGGGTGGTGCAGTAGACATTGCTTACCTAGATTTCAGTAAGGTTTTTGACACTGTTGCACATAGAAGGCTTATCAATAAACTGCAATCTTTAAGTTTGGATTCCAATATTGTTGAATGGGTAAGGCAGTGACTGACTGACAGGCAGCAAAGGGTTATATTTGAAGCATGGGCTTGTCACCAGTGGGGTACCTCAGGGATCTGTATTTGGACCCATTCTCTTTAATATTTTTATTAGTGATATTGCAGAAGGTCTTGATGGTAAGGTGTTATGTCTGATGACATAAAGGTAGACAGACAATGTAATAGAGCAGCAGGAAATGATGGCAGAATGCTTGGTTGTATAGGGAGAGGTATTAGCAGTAGAAAGAGGGAAGTGCTCATGCCATTGTACAGAACACTGGTGAGACCTCACTTGGAGTATTGTACACAGTACTGGAGACTATATCTCCAGATATATATTGATACCTTAGAGAGAGTTCAGAGAAGGGCTACTAAACTGGTTCATGGATAAGTGTCATGGATACAACCTACAAGGAAAGGTTAAAGGAACTTAACATGTATAGCTTGGAGGAAAGACGAGACAGGGGGGATATGATAGAAACATTTAAATACATAAAGGGAATCAACACAGTAAAGTAGGAGACTATATTTAAAAGAAGAAAAACTACCACAACAAGAGGACATAGTCTTAAATTAGAGGGGCAAAGGTTTAAAAATAATATCAGGAAGTATTACTTTACTGAGAGGGTAGTGAATGCATGGAATAGCCTTCCAGCTGAAGTGGGAGAGGTTTACACAGTAAAGGAGTTTAAGCATGCATGGGATAGGCATAAGGCTATCCTAACTATAAGATAAGGCCAGGGACTAATGAAAGTATTTAGAAAATTGGGCAGACTAGATGGGCCGAATGGTTCTTATCTGCCGTCACATTCTATGTACCTATGTTTCTGGTCAGACTAGGTTATACTTCCAATGAAGAAATCCCTGACTAGGTGTCTATGAGAAATAGAAAATATATGCAATGTAGAATGTAGAATCTGCAGTATGTAACCAAAAGTTAAAATTCTTCATAGTGGGGTGCATAAGGCAAAAACAATCCATCGTTTGGTGTGCATGTAATAGTTTATGCATCAAATTTCATTGATGCTTTAAAGTATCTATTTTTTTTCAAAGTTATTGTCTAATGCCAGATCCATTACTATATTCCAAACTCCCCCAACACCTTTATTCCAAACTTACCAAATTACTCCAGCTTAGCCAAGTACGTTCTTTAAAATGGTATCTGATTGGAGTTGGGAGAAGAAATGTTGACAAAGGTAAAAACATTATTAATACATTCTAAAAATAAAAACCTGCCCAAAGATCCGTAAGCATATCTTTGAGAGTAAAGTTAGTGGCAGTAGAAAAATTCATTGCAACTTAGATTTACCAGGGACAAACAACACTTTGAGACAAATACCTGATTTAAAAGCTTTCGTTTTGAATGAGACTGTAACCTTATGCTGCAGGCTGAAAAAAAACAGGTAAATATTATTTATTTATTTTATATGTACCCACTTTTCTTTTTCTTATGCTCTCCACAACTGCTCCATGGGGGAAACTGATCTAAGCAATCAGTGTCTTCCAATCATCCCTAGGAATGCTGGAAAAGTGCATTTGAAATACCTGGCTTTATATATGTGCAATTTGAAGGTCTCTTCATCTTACAACACTGACAGGAGGAGAAGAGAAGGAGTTTCCTCAGTGTAATTAAATATTGCTAACTAATTTCTTTCATTAGTGGACTAGTCTGAAATTGAGGTGGAAAAGTAAGGACAGGGAGGCTGAAGAAACTCCCCTAGCTCAGAGGCATACCCATT